AACGTATTATGAAATAATTCAAACAGCTATTGAAGATTCATTTGAACATTGTACACTTGTTGCTCAACGAGATTCAATTGTTATTCATTTACAAAATGCATTTCGTTGTGTAACAAGAAATGTTATTGCTGTTTTAGGTAGAAATAAGTTTTTTGTACTTGCCATTTTGTTTTTCATGTTTATACATTTATTTAGCTTCATCAACAATAACACAAACAGATCAATTATATTATTTACAACAACTTGAAGTATTAGATATACAAAAAGCATCACTTATTTCATTTCTTTTAACAAAACAATTTGAACAAAACAATTAACAATTGTCTTCTTTTTTTTTTTTTTATATAATTTTATTGTTGTACACATTTAGATGTATTTATTTAAAATTGTTTTTATTGTATACATCAAAGATTTATTTTCACTCTGTATATTATTGAAAGTTGTTTTTTTTGTTTTCTTTTACTATACTATTTTTTTAAAAAGCTTTATGAACAAAATAATTAAAATGAATAAAAGATAACTATATGATTGAAATCTAAATAAAAATTGTACGACCATTAAATTATGACAAACAATTTCTCGACCATAATATACATACGTCATAATTAGCAAAGAATTGAGAATACCAGGAATGCCACTTGTAATTAAAATGAGCTTATAATTTGGACCTTTTAAAACTAACCAAGCGATAATACTCTCAATTATGTCATCAACATTCATTTATTCTCCATCGAGTACAATTATTTTTGAAAGATGATGAAAAGTATAGACTTTCTTATCTTTTTACAGTTTATTGTTAACTATCAAGGGGTGAGATCGAATGTATGTTTACTTTTTCGGGACTTTTCACAAAGCTTAGACCTTATTTGAATATTTCGGTGTGTAGCGTAAATGTGATCGTGAACAGAGAACAACTACATGCGTAACGACGCAGATTCTTGTTACAGTATATGAATTCCTACTGTATTTCATTTGTGGAAGATTAAGTGAAAAAATGCATTCCAAAAGTCATAGAATAAAACAATTTGCCAATGATTAACAATATCAGCTACATTGTGTTTCACATTTCAGTAACATAGAAACTACACTAATAGTCGCTTCTTTACGTTCTCCATATATATACATAGAGCATCTATAAGTTGAATTCAGTTTTCCTTTCTTAATAACCAGATCGTTTGTGAGTGAAACCACAGATATGTATGAATAATTCCAAGGGAGAATTTATGCATCTTACACAGTGATTGGCTTTCCTTACAAAAAGTAATCATTATCCAAATACATTTTCTTGAGACAACTGTACTATTATAGTAATGGTTGAACAGGGATAAGATAGTATAAAAAAATAGAATTTCGTTTCCTCTCTTATCTCATAACAAAGAAAATTTCTTCAAGCATTTTGTAGGAAAACAAGGTACCTATGTTACTAATTTTGAGAGCTACTACGCATTTAGAATCTTTCTTTGATATACTGTTGAAGAGATTAAATAATTCAAATAGATCTCTGTATTAGAGATCTGTGGGGGTTGAACTTTGTTTTTACTCCAACTCGAAAAATTTTTTATTGTAAACTAATGATAGCTTGCATATTCAGAGATATTATGATCTAGAATTGGTATTATATCATCAGTCAAATCTGATTTGAATCCCTACAGATTTTATATTACGAATTGTTAAATCATTGTTTTTATTTCTTGTTGACACTAAGCAACACTCATCAACTATCATTTTCTATTAGCACGGTGTTACATGCACTCACTGGATGATCTACTTATTCAAGACTCAATCTTGGAATATTTCAATGATTTAACAAAGAGTTTCCAGCATAAATATACTATATCTGATTTCTAGAAATCAAATAATCTTACACAATTTAAATAGTACACACGAATGCGTTAGTTATGCTCAAAAAGTCTAACTAACAAAAAAACACTTCAAACTCTTATAACGGAAAGATATGTATTGACAAACTCAAGGAGGATATTATCGTTAGTTAAAACATTTTTAGCAATCTTTTGGGACAAATATGAGACTAATCAAGCTTGAGATGCACCATTAAATACTATTTGATTTGTAGGCTTACTCCAGTTCGTTGCTGATTATATTAAGATTTGTTTTTTTCCCTTAGGTCTATGAGTTGATGTCAATCACTGATTTATACAATTTCATCGAAGCTTGTTTGATCATTCATATAATTTTGTGTAATCCATTCAACTGTATATATACTAAATGAGGTTCATATATGAACTTAATTTCTTCTTTTTGTTTAAAGATGAATAAATTATTTCATAAACAAGTAACAGGTGCTTCATAGTACAAATCTGATTTTGGAAACAGCCATTGTGATCTTGAGGGTGTGGGTGGGGGTCTGGCTCTTCTCTATCTTAGCACCTAGACACCCACACCCAGACCCACCCGCACGCCCACAGACTCACACACCCACAGCCACATCCACATTCCACATGCGCCGACATACATCCACATCCATACCCACTCTACATCCACACCCACACC